ATATATAAACATGCAACATTTATAACAAGCACCTCAGGTGAATGAGACTAGTTGATATCAGTTGGTGGCTCATCTAAGAGATGGGAAAGCTCACATTGCAATATATAAACATGCAACATTTATAACAAGCACCTCAGGTGAATGAGACTAGTTGATATCAGTTGGTGGCTCATCTAAGAGATGGGAAAGCTCACATTGCAATATATAAACATGCAACATTTATAACAAGCACCTCAGGTGAATGAGACTAGTTGATATCAGTTGGTGGCTCATCTAAGAGATGGGAAAGCTCACATTGCAATATATAAACATGCAACATTTATAACAAGCACCTCAGGTGAATGAGACTAGTTGATATCAGTTGGTGGCTCATCTAAGAGATGGGAAAGCTCACATTGCAATATATAAACATGCAACATTTATAACAAGCACCTCAGGTGAATGAGACTAGTTGATATCAGTTGGTGGCTCATCTAAGAGATGGGAAAGCTCACATTGCAATATATAAACATGCAACATTTATAACAAGCACCTCAGGTGAATGAGACTAGTTGATATCAGTTGGTGGCTCATCTAAGAGATGGGAAAGCTCACATTGCAATATATAAACATGCAACATTTATAACAAGCACCTCAGGTGAATGAGACTAGTTGATATCAGTTGGTGGCTCATCTAAGAGATGGGAAAGCTCACATTGCAATATATAAACATGCAACATTTATAACAAGCACCTCAGGTGAATGAGACTAGTTGATATCAGTTGGTGGCTCATCTAAGAGATGGGAAAGCTCACATTGCAAACGCGCACTGCTTTACTGGTAAACGAGCCCAAAAAATGTAAGGTTCGAATTATTCCTTACGTGGCATTGCAAAATACAAGTTCTGGCATCTCGAATCCAAGAAAGCATCAGTGTGGTGCTTAGAAGTTGAATATTCGATGGATGATGGAAGAGGGGGGGGGGGGGGGGAGAGAGATAGAAACGAATAGACGTTAACAAGTGTTCCCCATTTCTTTATCACAGGTTGGACCGCTGGTCAAGTGGCTGGATTGGGTGTGGGGTGCGCCATCGGAGGGGCGCTGCTGCTCGCAGCAGGCTATTACACGTACTCGGCACTGAGGCGAAAATGGAAATGCAGGCGGGGCACAAGCAGGTACGATTTTATTGGAAACATTGTGTTTAATAGAATGGCTGAAATTTGTAATATTTTTTAAAGGAAATATTTAAAGTAATCGATAATAAATGTAACTCGTGATGATTTGTGCCTGAATTTATTTAGATCTAATATGTCAATGTCTTAACAAGCCCCGCCAATAAATGGCATGTGTCATTTGTCTTTAATGAATTGCTTTGGTCAATGTGTAATTGGTTTTAATTTCTCTAGACGCCATTTACATACCTTGTTTTTTTCTATTTTCCTCTCTTTACCTCAACATAATAACATATATATGTTGTGTTTTTTTATGCTTTGTGTGTTTTCCCTATTAAAATAAGTCACTTACTATGAGCCTTGATTCTTATTGTTAATGCAATGTATGCCTCCATCCTTGCGAGTCCTGAACTTTTTTTTATACCTGAGAATCCTTTTCAATGTGTATTGATGCATTGACTGTGTCTTTGTCTATTTGATGTCATGGTTTTATATCTAGTTCCTGTGTGATGTGTATTGTTCGGGTTTCATGGCTCAGTTCCTGTGTGTATTAATATTAGGGTTTCATAGCTAGTTACTGTTCATTTAGGCATGTTCATATTTGCTCTATCAGTGCATAACAGCTATGTTTTTAAGCTATGTTTTTAAATATATATATAAATATATATATATATAAATTATTTTCAGAGTCGTTCCTAAGACCAACGACGAACAAGAGAAGGTCGAACATGGTTTAGGAATCGACAAAGCGGAAAACTTACCCGAGACGGCGATAGGGACCATCGCAGACATTCAACCAGCGCGAATGCCCAACAGCGTACCTATGCACTGCGCTGCAAGATCGAACAGGCGAGCGCAGTGCCAGCATCATCACTGGCCCTTTGGGAATAAATTTTCTTAATTAAAAAAAAAATTATTTTAAAAAAATACACGTATTGAGCTCTGTCCCACAACCAATTCAGTCGCTATCTTCCTGCGCCTCATTAATTCCATTAATACACACACACACACCCACGCACATATGCACAGGCGCACGCGCCAAAACAAGTGCACTTGCTCACGCTCATACACACGCGCACACATACACACATACATCGAGAAGGAAATTTATATTGTTCAGTGTTAGTAATGGCCTATCCTCAAGCTGGTTAAGCAGATAAGACTGCCATGAACATCATTCCGGGAAAAAAATCAAATTTTGACTGTTCGCTTGAGTTTTGTAATAGAACAAAGCCCCACCCCTTAAGCCCCTCCCCCACCCCCACCCACACACACACACCCCTCCCTCCCACCTTATTGCTCGATATTATATTTTGTAGAAGATTTATACTAACAATATGGTTTGTAGGGATTTTTTCATTTTTAAAAGATGATTCAACATTTTTTTTTTTTAAATATTTGAATGGAATTAAAGCCAACTTCCTTGTGTCCAGAAAAAAGATTAAATAAGTTAAATCACATAGTTGTTTTTTTTTACTCTGCAAAGTGCCAAAAATCATGTGCAACAATTAATGGTAGCCAGGATTACTCCTTTAGTTAATGATAACATACTTAATTATTGAGTTTCGCCTGGTATATAAAAAAAAAAATTTTTTTACTTATGCTTCGAAGAAAAACTCTAATATTTCATTTACTCACCGACAAAACCTTAAGGATTTATCTGATTTAAAATTATTATTTTTTTAAACTACAAGTTATATAAACTATCATTGCCACTTTTCATAATGACGTTGTTAGAGAGCGATAACCTTAATGTTTTAAAAATCTCGGATGTATGGGAAACAACAAACATATACTTCATTGAATTTATATCATTATTTCCCTTTGATGTAAAAACCAGTTACAGGTCTCAGCTGATAAACGTTACACTGTCCAGGTGGACACAAGTGACACTGTCCAGGTGGACACAAGTGACACTGTCCAGATGGACACAAGTGACACTGTACAGGTGGACACAAGTTGCACTGTACAGATGGACACCAGTAACACTGTCCAGGTGGACACAAGTTGCACTGTACAGATGGACACCAGTGACACTGTCCAGGTGGACACAAGTTGCACTGTACAGATTGACACAAGTGACACTGTCCAGATGGACACAAGTGATACTGTACAGATGGACACAAGTTGCACGGCCCATCTTGACCCAAGTTACACTGTCCACCTTGACACCCGTTACACTGTCCATCTTGACACCCGTTACACTGTCCATCTTGACACCCGTTACACTGTCCATCTTGACACCCGTTACAATGTCCACCTTGACACCCGTTACACTGTCCATCTTGACACCCGTTACACTGTCCATCTTGACACCCGTTACTATGTCCACCTTGACACCCGTTACACTGTCCATCTTGACCCAAGTTACAATGTTCACCTTTACACCCGTTAGACGGTATATCTTGACACGAGTTACACTGTCCACCTTTACACCCGTTACACTGTCCACCTTTACACCCGTTACACTGTCCACCTTTACACCCGTTACACTGTCCACCTTTACACCCGTTACACTGTCTACCTTTACACCCGTTAAACTGTCCACCTTTACACCCGTTACACTGTCCACCTTTACACCCGTTACACTGTCCACCTTTACACCCGTTACACTGTCCACCTTTACACTCGTTACACTGTCCACCTTTACACCCGTTACACGGTACATCTTGACACGAGTTACACTGTCCAACTTTACACCCGTTACACAAGTTACTCTGCTCAGATGGACACAGGTTACGTTGTCAACAGGACAGGGCTACTTACGCAGCACGAGAAATTATTTAATTTCATATTTTATCTACTCTGTACTTTTAGTTGAAAGATGAATTGAAAATTTATATTCAAAATTAAATTACAATTTTATACGATGTAAATTTTAATATGGAGTTGTTGTTTTTTTTTTTGTTGATTTTTTTTTTTTTTTTTTTTTTTTTTTTTTTTTTTTTTTTTTTTTTTTTTTTTTTTTTTTTTTTTTTTAAGTTATTATTTTTTTTTTTTTAAAGTTAAACTTGAGTTTGAGTTTGACAATGATTTAGCTCAAAAACCAACTACATATGCTGAGCAAACACGCAACGTCAAAAACAAAAAACTGCACCGAACTCAACCCGAGTTGTCGATCTTCCTAACATGAGGAACTGTATCACACTACCTCACCCTTCCCTATATTTTTTTTTTAACATTGCTCATCTCTACCTCTAGCGAAAAAAATATATTTCTTTTCTCATATTGGCTCCCATCTGTATTTCTCACTGTCTTTGCTCCCCCCCCCCAACCATTCNTCTTGCTGGCCATGGCAATATCTTGCTGGCCATGGCAATATCTTGCTGGCCATGGCAATATCTTGCTGGCCATGGCAATATCTTGCTGGCCATGGCAATATCTTGCTGGCCATGGCAATATCTTGCTGGCCATGGCAATATCTTGCTGGCCATGGCAATATCTTGCTGGCCATGGCAATATCTTGCTGGCCATGGCAATATCTTGCTGGCCATGGCAATATCTTGCTGGCCATGGCAATATCTTGCTGGCCATGGCAATATCTTGCTGGCCATGGCAATATCTTGCTGGCCATGGCAATATCTTGCTGGCCATGGCAATATCTTGCTGGCCATGGCAATATCTTGCTGGCCATGGCAATATCTTGCTGGCCATGGCAATATCTTGCTGGCCATGGCAATATCTTGCTGGCCATGGCAATATCTTGCTGGCCATGGCAATATCTTGCTGGCCATGGCAATATCTTGCTGGCCATGGCAATATCTTGCTGGCCATGGCAATATCTTGCTGGCCATGGCAATATCTTGCTGGCCATGGCAATATCTTGCTGGCCATGGCAATATCTTGCTGGCCATGGCAATATCTTGCTGGCCATGGCAATATCTTGCTGGCCATGGCAATATCTTGCTGGCCATGGCAATATCTTGCTGGCCATGGCAATATCTTGCTGGCCATGGCAATATCTTGCTGGCCATGGCAATATCTTGCTGGCCATGGCAATATCTTGCTGGCCATGGCAATATCTTGCTGGCCATGGCAATATCTTGCTGGCCATGGCAATATCTTGCTGGCCATGGCAATATCTTGCTGGCCATGGCAATATCTTGCTGGCCATGGCAATATCTTGCTGGCCATGGCAATATCTTGCTGGCCATGGCAATATCTTGCTGGCCATGGCAATATCTTGCTGGCCATGGCAATATCTTGCTGGCCATGGCAATATCTTGCTGGCCATGGCAATATCTTGCTGGCCATGGCGTGGTACTTCAAATTTTATCACTACCTCTGAGCAATCAGTGATGTATATCCAATGGCTGATTTCAACTTTTGAGCGATTACTTTAAAAGAAGAAAATGTTGTTTCATTTGGAGATGTAGTTCAATGAAATATTACCCTTTAAAATAGCCTCCAAGACTTGATGTTCTAAAGTAGGTAATCTGAGCAAAGCAAGGAGCTGGAGCTGCAGCTCTGAAGCAGGTATTCTGAGCCCAGGAAGGAGCTGGAGCTCTTAAGCAGTTATTCTGAGTGGAGCGGTCCACTAGCACCCACTTTGAGACCCGGGAAATAACGAAATATTCTTTATTATTATTATTTGCTTTACAGCGTTCTCCCCTGTCTTATTATCTTTAGGTCCGCATAAGTATTACAGCCCTCCTTACATTAAGTGTCTCTTTCAGTCATATCTGCGGAGAGGGGGTGGGTGAGCACTGTCCCCCGGGGAAAGTCAAGCGGATCTCCACAAATAAAAGCCTGGTCCAAATCCCTGTTCTGTGGACAAGGCGTGCAAAACATACGGCCCGCGGGCCCAAGGGAACCTTTCAGTCATATCTCCGGGGAGGGGGGCACTGTACCCCGGAAAGTCAAGTGCCACCCCCCCCCCCGTAGCAAAATGTGTACAAAAGTATAACGATTACATTCATCTTTTTATTATTAAAAACGAGTGAATTGTTATTTTTAAACAGATTTAATAAGAATATTATCTTGTGCCTTTAACCGATTAAAAATGTGTGGAATCTATGAAATATCGCTAAGTTCAATAAAGGCTAACTGTATTCGATTAAAAATATCGTACTGGCCGCTCCTGGTTATATGCCGCAGTCTTACTTCTCGTTGTTCGCAATGAACTGTATTTTTTATTAATTTTATTTTTTTTGCAACTTTTACAAATTTAAAGACTTTAACAACACTTGAATGAACCACCTTTACATCAGTATCAAGATCTCCAATTCAAATAAAGCTCTTGCTAAATAGCAAACCTGCGCAATATATTTTCAAGTTACATTTCATTGTAAAAGCATTACTTTTAAAGTAGGGATAGGTGTTAATTTAATTATAATTTTTTTTTTTTTAATATTTCATTAGCGTAATTATTAATGTGCTCGCTTCCATGGATGTTGAGTTACATAAAATGGAAACTTTACAAAATGAGACATATGTTTTAATTAAGAATTTAACGGTTGCACACAAGCGCAAGCGTTTGTGTTTTCTTTAACAGTGTTAACTTTCAGAACAAAGTTTCCTCCAAAATAGAGGTTTAAAAAAAAATAGCCTATTCTTTTTTTAAATCCTCAACTGCTTTTGTCTTTTTAATATCAGAATAATAAACATTCTATCCCATCTAGATGCCAGAGGCGTCATTTGGGTAGGACAGGGTCTTTCATTTGGCCCCAACCTCCCCCCCCCCTGAATTTACAGGTTTTATTCAAATTGCTTTGTACCGTGGTGCCTCCAGTAATAAACAATCCGACGACGTTTTGGGTTTTGTAACCCCCCCCCCCCCCC